ACACACACACACACACACACACACACACACACACACACACACACACACACACACAAAGCAGCCAACAGAAGCCTCCTTGGTACAGCCATCTTTATGGGGACTTTGCATTGACTTTCGTTAATTTCTACAGCCTAACCCTGACCACCGACCCTAAAACTAACCTCACAGGTTGTTTTATGATTATATTTCAGACAGTTCATTCAAATGATACATTGATAAGGTATTTATTCATTATATTTTGACAAAATGCAATTTTTGTAAACATTTTAATCAAAACCCTACAGTATATCTGCCTATTTCTCCGTATACCACTTTTAGACTTAATCCTCGTTTCGATGTGATGGGTCACATATATATAAAATAATTGCATCCAAATCTAGAAAAATAAATACATTTTCAATTTCTTTATCAATGGGTGCTTCATAAAAAACAATTTTGAGCCTTTTTTCAACTTCAACCTGATTTTAATGCACTTTATTAAAAGCCATCATTGTTTCAGTTGTAGTTCGGTATCGCTCTATAAAAAATGTAATGTCAGATCTCTCTTTCTTATTTATATAATGGAAACTAATAATTTAATAATTTACTTGTATTAGAATGCACAAAGTATGCTTTGTTTCATAAATGACAATAAAAAAACTCATTAAAAATGACAAAAATGTCCTAATTTAAGCATCCTGTCACTACTACAGTTGTCCATCCTGTAGAGTAATTGCATTAAATACATTTTTCTGCATGTTCTTGCAGTGATGTCATCTTATCTAACGTGTTTGCAGGTGTCAACCTGGTGTATGTTTTCACAGACAAACACGAGCAGAATCACGCAGATAAAAGACAAGAAGGCCGGTGATTACGCTGCACATCAAATGTCTGCTTCAGTCCCGCTCCCTCCCACTTCTGTTCCTCTCGCTCACAAGTCTTTGAGAGGGTGCCAACAGTTTTCAGAGTGTGTCCGGATGGATTTTCTCCGTCTGGACAGAAGCTGTGCTTTATCTCAGACTTGTTTAAGACAGCATCTAAACCGTGTTTGCTTGACCCTTTTTTTCTCCTCACACATAGACAGATAAGAGACAGGAGAACAAACTTTTTTTAATCACAGCTCATTTAGGTTGTTGTGTTTGTTGATGAGACATGTTGAGCCATCCTGCTTGGTGTGTTATACTTAAATGAAACCACTAATAGTGTCTTACGCACACACTATTGTAATAATAATAATAATAATAATAATGTGATAATAAATGAGTGTGCCTTTGAGCAGCATACAAGTTTGTATTCATGCACACACAGATAGTTGTACCTAAAGTGTGCTTTTTGTTGTTTAACTGCCCGGCAGCTCCTCCAAATGCAGACAAACACAGGTTCCTCTACAGTTTGTGTTTTTGTGAGTTTCCATGTGAAACCCTCCTCTGCACCGTTCCCAACAGGCTTCATATCTGCAGCTGGTCTGATACTGTTACCAGGCCTCCCAGTTCACCTTCTCTATCTGTTTTTCACTCAGCCAGGGTAGATCCACAGAGAGCACCGGCAGGAACAACAGCCTGGATTTCTTAAAAATATCAAGAAGTCTGTGGATAAGAGAGACACAAACCCCAGGGACAAAAAAAATCAGCTTTTTGCAAAGTACTCAAACCCTCAGGTTTAGTTGTAAATTTACGTCATTGTGAGTTTTGTGGCCATGTAATGGAGCAAAACAATTGATCGTGATTAACTGTGGCATTTAGTGATTGATATAATGATTATTCAGTGGTGGGCACAGTTCCCCTAAAGCACTAATAGGGGAACTAATTTCCTGATTAGTGCTTTAGGGCTTTTGCTAATTTTAAAATTTATTAGTGGATTAGCACTTGCTAAATTTATAGGCTAAATTTAGAAGCACTAACTGAGGTCTATAAATGTTATTGATCAACATYAATGTTAACAGCTGAGGGTGAAAGCTGTCACATTTTGTTCAAACGTGTGCCACTTATCCACTAGATGACAATATATGAACACAAATACAGCTGTGGAATGTCAATCACAAGTCTTAAGAGAGCAACATGTCAAGCTGAGTCAGAAAGCAAAGCTCTCGATTTACYGGTCGATCTACGTCCCTACCTTCATCTATGGTCATGAGCTTTGGGTCATGACTGAAAGAACGAGGTCCCGGATACAAGTGGCCGAAACGGGTTTCCTCCGCAGGGTGGCTGGGCTCTC